TATATATATATATATATATATATATATATATATATATATATATATATATATATATATATATATATATATATATATATATATATATATATATATATATATATATATATATATATATATATATATATATATATATATATATATATATATATATATATATATATATATATATATATATATATATATATATATATATATATATATATATATATATATATATATATATTGAAGTTTTTCCGTTATGTCTTTGTGTTGTGATTCTGTTTTTTATTTTTCTTATGTTAAGTTTTTTAATAACTGATATTAGAGTTTTTAGTTCGATACAAAGATATGCATTTTTAGTATGCTATGTAGTTGTAGTTTTGTCTAATTTTCTGCATCAGAAAAGAATCATGGTAGTGTGAAAATGATGTTTAGCTGCAATCATAAGTTCCTCAAGTTTGGACAAGAGAAAATTGTTGAAACTACTTTGTTTTTGGTTTGAAGAAAATTCAAGTCAAAGATGTATTGATACAATCAAGATTAAATAAGTTATTGCTTAGTATATGAGTATTGACTGACGTTGGTGCAAAGTTTGTTGTAAGATTATGTCGATGGTTGAATAATTTCATGCCAACATGGAAGTTGCACCATAAATTTTCAGCCTAATTTTCGACATGTGAAAATTCTTTGAGTGATATAGTTTCAAGTGAAATACTCTTTTACTAGCGAAATATGAATTTTCTTTTTGAACTATGATTGTTAGTGAGGACAATAAAATTCTTGAAGTTAGGTAGCTTCAAGTAAATGAACTCTTTATGATGGTGTATGACTGTTCTTTTGAACTGTGATTTTCAATGAAGACAATGCGAATTTTTTTAAAATAATGTAGCTTTAAGTGAATATACTCTTTATGATGGAGTATGATAATTCTTTTGAACTATGATTGTATGGATAAACAATGGAAATTGATGTATCATTTTCAATATAGGGAAATATTGTTAGTGTTGGTTAAAAACAAAGATGTTGAAATAGTCTTACATTGCTTAGTTTTGTAGATGAAAAGGGAGTCCAAGGTTATACATTGGACTTAGCTTTTCGTTTCAAAATGCATCGGTCAAAAGTATTTTAAACTTGTATATGACTATTTCTTTTTGTCTTATATTATAGTAGGGGTGTACGTGAGCCAGTTTGGGCTGGGTTTGGCCAAATCCAATATCCAATCCATATAGAACATTTCAGTTTAGGTGACGTAGAATAACCATTCATTATACTAATGGGTCGGTTTGAGCAAACCCACTAATTTTCGGGTTATATTGGATTGGGTAATAGGTTACCCAAATAATTTTTATGTTTTATTAATATTAAATGATTGAATGATGAGTAATTATATTTTTTCATAAATTTTACTCAATATTTTAATCTTCTTAAAAAAAATTTGATAACCTATTTTTTTCATCTTTTAACATCATAAAATAATGATGACATCAACTAATAAAAATCATCATAAAATACTACCAACAAACTATAATTGCATGACATAAATATGTATTAGTATCAAAATATTAAAGAGTGAAACATTCAAAATTAGTTAAAGTCATGGTTCACTGAAATATTAAATGTTAAAAGACTAAAATTGCAATAAATAAGTTAATATTTATAAAAATCATTAAAATTGTACTAATTTGATTAGTGGGTCAGTGAGTTTTTTTGGGTTTGAGTATGATTTTACCCGAAATCTAATTTTTTGTATGAGTATTTTAGTTTTAAACTCATATCCACCCAATTACCCGATCCAACCCATATTTTTTGGATTTTTTGACTAGTTTGACCGAGTTTTGTGGGTTGACCCAGCCCATGTACACCCATATATTATAGTATTTGGGTGTTGTGAGTTGTAGTTAAATATTTGACTTGGAAAATATGAATGTAATGGGGCCGTAAGGATGTTTGAGGATAGTCAATATGTTGTATCAATTTTCACATAGTGTTATTCTCTGGTTGTTATATGAAAACGACTATGGTCCTCCTAATTAAAATAAAAATATATAAGTAATATATAATATGGGTATGGGGCGGGGTGGGTACTAAGGTATTTGTATCCGTGCACATACCTGCTTATATTAGTGGGTAATTGATCGTGCGCATGTATGTACCTATTTTATAGGTTTTTATCTTACATGTCGTGGGTAATTTTAGCGGGTATTTAATGGAATGAGTCTAATTATCATCCCTACCCGCACAAATGGTCTAACGCCTCGCCTGAGGGAATTAAAGTCTTGTCACGATCATCACATGATCTTACTTGGGAGACTTATGGACTCGTAATACCCAAACACTTTATAGTTAAAAGCACTTCACCCTTTGTCAAAGCCATCGTGCTTGAGGGAATGCGTAGTGATATATTTGTAAAAGGCCTAAGTAAGGGCAGAAAAGCGAACTCCCTTCTCACATAGCCTTAAGAAATATGGGAAAAGATGTTCCTCGGTTAGAAGGAAGTCAGGGTTAATAGATTGATCTATATTCTCCTAGGAAATAAGAGTTTAACTGTTAATCATTAAACAAGTGGGAGGTTATTAGTCCTTAGGAAAGCATAGGCCCAATAGCCTCTATAAATACCTTGCCCCCGGGGCAAAGGAGAATCACAATTTGCTTGGCATAACGCATAAACACAATATCCTCTCACCTCACGTAAGTTGGCCCTCTCATACCATTATAAACACCATAACCATCACCAAACAAGGTATATCCCTTTGCGAGAAAGCCCTAACCACCATCAATTACTAATGCCTTTGAGTATCCCCTACCCATGTAGGGATACCACACACACCTCTACTTTTTAACAATCACGAAAGAAAAATATAATACAAAATGTAGAACAACAAGCACTCAAAGGAGCAAAATATGTGCAAAAAGAACTCACAACAAAAACTAACAACTATCTGACAATAAAACTAGAAAAATAAACTAAAACTCTAGGGATCACAAAACAACCAAAGGATCTAATCTAGATCAGAGAAACCAAAAACACCATCAACATAGAAGCACCTATTAGTGCAACTTCAAACTACACCCCAAAGAAAGCACATGACACTCTCAAATCACTATTGACTTAGGCAAAATATATGATTTGATAGCTAGTTGGAAAGGACAAGAATAATTATATGGACTACCAAGTATCATTTCTCGATAAGGAGGGTACTTTTGCCTTCCATATCTTCCTTAATAACTGACAAATTTGTAAAGATGCAATCGTGTTGGGATTTCTAAATAGTCTATACAATTGAGTGCCAAATCATGATAAGCCCACCTCTAATCCTAGTAAGACCTCATAAGGAATAAAAACCTCAAACAACGAGACAATGTCTCCCGATAAAACCATTATCCTATATAGCCGCTGAAAGATCATATACCAAAGGTTTTTTGTCACACTGCAAATGACAAACATGTCAGATACAAATTCAATAGGGCTAATACATAATTCACAAGAGATATCAATAGATTCAAGAATAACACGTCTCTTAAACAAGTTTTACCTATATGGGATCTTATTTTGGAGAACTTGGCAAGAAACACGATCACTTTAAACAGAGCTCAACTACACCAAATTGAGGCCAAAATACCACCCAACTCTGTAGAGGAAGTACCAGCAAGAACCAGAGACTTAAACAAATCATTGTAGGCAGAGGAAACATAATATGTGTAATCTTCCCCATAAAGTCAATGCCATTTATAGAGATCCAAAGAAAGGATAATCTTTTGGAAATCCAGACAAAAGGTCATCAACCAAATACAACTCATATTTAAATATGGGTTTCATCCACTAGAAATCTCATATCAGAACCCTATTAATCAACCTACAATCCACTTGAACTTAACCTTTTTTCTTATGTTTAGAGATAAGTTATATTATATGGAACGTAAATCTAAGAGGACCACCCCATTCATCCAAGGGTCCTCCCAAAAAGAAGTAAGCAGACTATATCCCCCCTTATGACGCAAGCCACATATAAACCAATAAGAAGTGTCACTCGATTTGGAACGTATGAGGTAAACGCCTTTCCACTAGGAGGAAAAAATATGAGTCTGCCACTCCTACCCCATAGTAAAGACAAGACGACCTAAGATCCATATCTCGCAATCAAAATATCTATTCAAAGACCAACAAACTCAAAGATTAAGTTCCACCGTTATTTACCTAGAAGAGCTAATTTGACAAGAATTTCGATTTAAGGTTCAATTTGTTCAATTTGTTCAATTTGTTCAATTTATTCAATTGGTTAAACTGTGAGTCAAACCGTTTATTAAATTTCATAGATAAGTCATACATAATCTCACGTTCACAACACAAGAAAGTAAATATATCAATTACAAACTTAATATAACGAGATCAATAGTAGACACAATAACACAACTTAATAGTTTAGTTCCATTTTTATCTGATTCAACAAGTAATCCCCAATTCAATCTGTCGATTCAGTTCAATTTTTAAGACATTATTTTTAATACAATTTTAGTTTTTTTCTTTCCGCTGTAGTACCATTTAAATATATTAGTTGTATCAATTTAAATTTAGTATTTTATACTTTACATTTAAAAATACACAAAAAATAATATAAATATAAAATAACAGTTTATATCCAATAAAATTATGAAGCACAAACACTCCGAACACGACCCCGACACTCACACAACGACACCGATAATAATTTAAAAAATGAATAAATTAAACGTAAATATAAATATCAGTGCAAATATTCGACATCGACACAGACAGACACGCCTTATTTAAGAGGTGTCGGTGTTACATAGAATAAAATACAAAATAAAAATAAAAATATATATATGCAGAAAATATAAAATAAAATATGGATTTAACTCAAGGCAATTTAATGGGCCGGGTTTCAAAGCCCATAATATCCGAAGTTAAGAAAGATTAAAACCCTAGTCTGAGAATTAGAGCAATATATAGAACAGAAAGAGGGCGTTAGGGTTTGTTTTTGTTCTGTGATCGAGCAGCCACAATGTCGAAGCGAGGTACAATTTCATTTTCCGATTCTCAGATCAATCGCTCTAATTTCTCTTCTCCTCTGAATCATTGATTAACTTCGTTTCACGCTTCAATAACCGATTTCGATTTCGAATATTCTCACAGGTCGCGGAGGTTCCGCGGGTAACAAGTTCAGGATGTCACTCGGTCTGCCGGTGGCTGCGACGGTGAACTGCGCCGATAACACCGGAGCTAAGAATCTTTACATCATTTCCGTCAAAGGTATCAAGGGAAGATTGAACCGATTGCCCTCTGCTTGCGTCGGTGACATGGTTATGGCTACTGTGAAGAAGGGAAAGCCAGATCTCCGTAAGAAGGTTCTGCCGGCTGTTATCGTTCGTCAGCGCAAACCATGGCGCCGAAAGGACGGTGTTTTCATGTACTTTGAAGGTATATCAGTTTCTCTGCAAACCCGTAGTAGATTTTAATTTATATGTTTGTGAATTGTTTTTTGAATTTTTTGGTTTGGTTTATTTTGTAGATAATGCTGGTGTGATTGTGAATCCTAAGGGTGAAATGAAAGGTATTAAATTAAATAATTTTACTGTTTTTGTTTATTTTAGATTATTTACTATTTATGATTTTGTTAGTCGATTAGATGATTAATCATCGATATTAGGGTTTTTGTTCTTGGATTTAATCTTATGTTTTCGTATATAACTATAGGATCTGCTATTACTGGTCCAATTGGGAAGGAGTGTGCTGATCTGTGGCCTAGGATTGCAAGTGCTGCTAATGCTATTGTATAAGTTGAATTTTCTAGTATTCAAAAAGATTTTGTTTCTGCCTTTTGGTGTTGTTTTACGTTGGATATTTTGCATTTTGATAAGTGACAGAAGTTCTTTAATTCTCTGTAATGACAAGTGTTTTGAAGATATTATTGCTTAGTTATAAGAGTTGTTTGTGTTTATGCATGTGTTTTTATTTATTTTGTGGTATTAGGATGCTTTTTCCTTACATTTGCAATCTTTAACTATTGGGTGTGTGTGTAAATTGATTCTACTATGTTGTGAATGAATTGAAGCTATTCCCAAGTTTTCATTCATGTGTTTATTGATCTTTCATTTGTGTGGTCGTTGAAAATCTGAAACAACCATTCTAGTAGTTTTGATGATATTAATGCTTAGTAAATGGAGTTGTTTGTTTATATGCATGCGTTTTTATTTATTAAGTGGTATGTGTATTCTGTTGTTTCTTTTGCAATCTTAAACTATTCGGTTAGTATGGGAAAATGGTTTTTACGACGTTGAATTTATTGAAGTTGATAAATCCTGGAGTTTCTCACCCACCTTAAGATTTTCTATAGCCTGTTTTACCAATTTGATGTTTGTGGTCTTGTAAGCTTAAAGAATCATGGGTGTTCTTTGAGTGGTTATTGATTGTGTTTCAGTAACCAGCTTTTTTGGATGTATGAGTACAATGTTTTTGTTAAGTTTTTGAATTGGTTTTTCAATAATAATGTTACATATAGCTTATTCTTTGAAATTGCAGTCTACTGAATTTTGAGGTTACATTTATTTCAACTATTGTCTAGACCATATGCAAAAGTATCTGCTTTCGTTTTTTAAGGTAAATTTAAAAGAACCCATTGATCTTTGTTCTACATTTTAAAGGTGAAATACGGACCTCTGTTAAATTGCCTTTCCCATCGTAATTCATCTCTATTGATATTTGATGTGATATCTTGTGGGGAGCTCTAAAATTGCGGTTTTAAAAAATAAATTAAAAGACCTTTGTCAGAATTTGTTTGTCACCATTAGCTGTTTAACATGTTTATGTGTAGGTATTATAAATTCATTGTCAAACGTGTTTCGACAACTACACATGAAATAATTTTCCAACTATTTCTCATGCATAGTTGTTTTACAATACAAAAATGTTCTCTAAGGATCCTATTCCTGGCTCTAATGTTAAACATGATATTTATATATGGTATTATATATTTTTGTATATACTTTTTTTTCTTCTATAAAATGAAATTTTTATATAGATATTTACTTTTAAAATGTTATTTAGGTGTTGTGTTATTTATATATTAAAATTTTAAAAATCACAAGTTTTCATTTATTTTAAATAGTTTTTCATAAAAATCTTTATTGGCGTGCATATATTTATGTTAATTTATAAATGAATTTAAGATTTTCCTTAAAATTATGTAGGTGTTTTGTGTTTGACATATTAAAATTTTAAATATCACATAAATTTAAAATGATTTTATAGTTTTTCATAAAAATCTTTATTGGCATGCATCTTTTTATAAAAATTGTGACCGACTGATTTTATTTTCAAAAACATTTATGATGTTAGTTTATAATAAAAGAATTTAAAATTTTCTAATATTTTAGGAAATATCTTTATTAATTTTTTTTAAATATAAAAAAAAATCTATTTTAAAGTTAAAGCAATTGAAATTTTACGCAAGTTTTCTTACCTTTTGAAGTATGCGAGCATGACATTTGCTTCCTTAAATGAAACTATGAATCCCTGGAAATTTACATCTTCAACATAAAAAGGTTGAGAGAGGGTATACTATCTGATCTGACCTGATCAGAAGGTTTGGACCGTCACGGCTTACTCCGAGCTGAAGGCTTTTTGAACGAGGAGGGGGGGGGGGGGGTACCTGCAAGGCACTCCGATGCTAAAGTCAGTGGGAGCACTAGCAGATAATAGAGTTGAGGTTAGAATGATCAATCTCTGACCCTCTGGAAGCAGAGGGTATTTATAGCCCCCAGCGCTGGGCCAAGGTTCCTTCATTGGGCCGGGACGATTTGGCCCAATGGAGGAACTGCCAGGTTCTACGTGGGTAGTGGGGACCAGCACGTGGTCCCCTTCCTGGATATGCTGCATGAAGTGCGGGCGGACGGAGACGCGGTCTTTCCGGAGTATCGTAGGGGCAATGGAGGACTAAGTCTGCCCTAGCAAGTTAGCTCGAGACCATGTCGAGCTGCGCAGCACCGTGCCGAGCTCGACGCCAAGACCTCGAGCTGGATAGTGAGTGTCGAGCTGGAAGCCAGGACATAGAGCTGGACGGCAGGCTGTCGAGCATGACTTCATCGTGGGACTGGACACCGAGATGTCGAGGTGGACATCAGGGTGTCGGGCATGGACGTGACCCCCTTTGTCCAGCGTGGTCCTTAGTGAGTCCCTTTGGACTGGGCCTTAGTAATGCTTTTGGGCCTGTCGGGCCCAGTCCAGAACAGGAGCCCCCCAAGTCGTGGTTCCTTTGCGAGGAGCCATGACTTGAAACAAAGCTGTTCCGTCGCTGAGGTCTCGTGCCCGGGATGGAGGCGTGGACCCTCGAGGGGTCTCCTCGTGCCGTGCTCGGAGACGTCCTCGGTGGTGGATGCGTGGAGGATCCGTACCGGGCGCGTCAGTCGAGCACACGAGGCATCTTTCGGGAGTTGTGCCGCCACCCTAGGGGGGTAGGGCCATCATTGCGTTGGGAGCAGTGCGTCGAGGAGATGGAGTCCGTGGCTGAACGAGGTGACGTTTGGTATTCCACGTCATCACTATAAATAGGGTCCTTGGGCCCCATAATACGTTTTCCGTTCTCCGTGCTCTCTCCGTTGCCGCTCTCAACACTCTCTCCAGCCGTGACTTCCCGTCTCAGATTCTTCATTTCTTAGCCAAATTCCAACTTTGATCCAAGTAAGTGATCTATTTTCTTCATTTTTCTGTTTTAGAATGCATGATTCTTGGAAATTGTAGATGTTTTAGGACCGTTAATGTTGGGTTAGCCCGGTAAACTTGCGTTTTGCCCGACAGATTCATGTCTAGGGCCGGCAAACGCATACTTGTGGCCGACACATTCATAGTTTTAGGTGAAAAACTTCAGAGCTGCCCGGGGTCTTCATGATCCTGGGCGCCTGATTCATGACGGTGCCCGGCATGTTTATGGTCGTGGCCGTGGGCTTCATGATGCGGCTCGCCATGTTCATACCTCGGGTCGACATGCTTGAAGAGTGGCCGCGCAGTTGGTTTGAGGAAGAACACTGGATTCAGGAGAGTCGGGGAGGCATCCGCTTGTGAAAATGGATTTGTGTAGTAGTGTATGGACGACATGATTATGTCGAGCATAGGACTTCATGCTCAATCTGATTGGTTTCCCGTGCTCTGCAGGTAACCATGGCGGATGAGCCGAGCTCCTCCGGTCGTCGTGACAGCGAAGAACCAAGTGCCGACGAGTCGGCCAACCTTATAGACACCGTGACCGACCCATCGCTGGAATGGGTGGGCGCCGAGCCTCGGGGGACGGCGTCGATATACAGTCGGGATGACCGACATCCATTCACCGCTATCGAAGAGGGGCAGGACCAGCCCGACTTCCAGCAGAATTTCGTGGTCATGCTGCCGTCAACCAATGCCAGAATTTGTTCAATGTATCCGGACTATAGCTTTGCGATGTACGAGATCGCGTTTAAAGACTTGGGGATGCGGCTGCCGTTCACAGACTTTGAGACCGGGGTCTTTACGCATTTGGAGCTGGCCCCGTCCCAGCTACACCCAAACTCTCTCGCCTTCATCCGGGCGTTTGAGCTGACGTGTCGCTACTTAAGGATAGGGGCGACCATCCCTCTCTTCTTTCGGGTCTTCCACCTACAGCGTCAGTCCCGAGGAGGGAAGCACAGCTGGGTGTCCCTGAAGCAGTCGAGGAGACTGTTTAGGATGTACATGGACTCTGTGAGGGGGTTCAAGGATAAGTGGTATGTGGTACGCCCCACTACCGACTCTGCTGTAGATTCCCTCTTCGAGGAGGAAGGGCCGGTCAGCGATGATGACGGGGAAGCAATGTTGGCCGACGACGGGAGCCCCGTGTTAGGACGTCGGGCTAAGTTCCCGGTGTACTGGATGTCCCGACACTTCGAGCATGGAACAGGTTATTTCCATACCGCAGTCGGGGACATGTGCACGGAGGATCAGCGGGCGTATGAGGCTCTCTGCAACTTTGTCGACAGTTTTCATCCCGCCCAATGGGTTACGCGGGAAGGGAATGATATCCTCGACAAGGACGGTTATCCGACATTCGAGGCCCGCCCGATCAACACCAAGGCGCTGGTGGAATGTTCGACATATAGGCAGGCAGCCCGCCTGTTAGGTTGTTTGCTTTGAAATTCTTTATTCGTCATTCATTTATTTATGCGGTTTGCTCGATGCTGACTTTTCCTTTACTTCGTGCAGGTACGATGGCCAGCCGACATGAAAGGCTCCTGAAATTGTCAACCGGCCAGAGGCGAGGCAAGAGGGTCGTGCAGGCCCCGCAAACGACGAGAATGGGACCACCGCCCAGCATGAACGTTCCTCAGCCGGTGAGGGTGGATTCGACGTCGAGCTCGGGAGCAGCGTCAGATCCAGAGGTCGAGGAGATTGACGCCAGCGCCGTTTTGACGCAGAGGAAGAGGACCCGCGTGGAAGGCGGTTCGACTGTCGGGGAAGATACCGGTGCTGTTCAATCCTTTGCCTTCCCCCCTTGCTTCGAGGAGGAGGGCTTTTTCGAGCGGTTCCCTCCGACCGTGGTCGCTCATGAAGCCGAGGCCATAAAGAGGATGACTAAAGAGGAGAGGAAGTCGCGGCTGGTCGCCAGCGTGGACGGGCTGGTTAAAATGGCCGAAATGGCTCTGGTGTTATCTGAGGATGCAGGGGATGCTGCTCGTGTTGAAGAGCTCGAGCAGGAGAAGGCGGCCTTGACTGCGAGCTCGCGGAAGTTGAAGGTCGCTCTGGAACGCTCTGAGGGGATGTTCCAAGAGCAGAC